TTTTTTTTTTTTTTTTTTTTTTTTTTCCTTTTCTTTCTTTCTTTTCTGGCACTGGGGAGTGAACCCAGGGTCTTCACACTGACCTATATCTCAAATCTCCCCCCTGCCTTTTTTTTTAAAATTCTGAGACAAGTTCTCATTAAGTCACTAAATTCCCCAGGTTGGGCTCAGATTTGGGATCCTCCTGGCTCTGGCCCTCAGAATATTGGGATTACAAGTGTGCACCACTGTGCTTGCCTTTTTTTCTTTTCTTTCCTTTTCCTTTTTTGTGGTGCTGGGGATGAAACCCAGGGTCTCCTACATGCCAGGCATGTGCTCTATCACTGAGTCACCACCCCCTGCCCCAGACTTCAGAATCTAAACTGGTGTTATGGTGTGTGTCTGGATGTCCCCCCAAGCCTTATGCAGTCAGAGTAGGGTTTTGCAAAGGCAGCTGGATCTAGAGCGTATGCTGCTGGGATTAAGGGTATGTGATTACTAAATCAGTCCACTGCTTGATTTGGCATCACTCTAAACCTTGTAGCCTCGATACCATATAAAAGGGGCAGAAAGGTGCGGCTAAGGTCCCTTGCTTGCTTGGCTACCTTGTCCTCTGTGATTGTCTGCCATGCCATCCAACCTTAAGCCAGCCAGTTATGGACTGAAACCTCCCCAAACTGTGAGCTAAATAAACCTTTCCTCCGTTCACTTATGGGTGTTGAGTATTTTGTCTCAGCAACAAGAAAACTAAGACAGAATTTGGTACCACAGAAGTGGGGTCATTTCTTTGACTGTACCTGACCATGTAGTTTAGGAGCCTTTAGCATTGGCTGTGGGAAGGGAAGAGTTAGGAAAGGTTTGGAGATGCCAGCTGAAAAAGTAGAGCTGGAATATCTTAGGCTGTACTTTTTTTTTTTTGGTTTTTCTCCGGTACCTGGAACCGAACTCACGACCTTGCGCTTGCCAGGCAGGCGCTTTTGCCACTGAGCTAAATCCCCAGCCCCTTATCTTAGGCTGTACTTAATGAGAGATTCTGGTCACAGCTCAGAAGACCAGAAGGCCAACAGAAATCTCCTGGTAAAAAATGAGGGTCAGCTGGGTATGGTTGTGCACACCTGTAATCCCAGCACTCAGGAGGCTGAGTCAGGAGGATCACTGTGAATTCAAGGACAGTGTGGGCTACATAAGCAAGTTCAAGGCCAGCCTAAACTACATGGTGAGACCCTGTCTCAAAAAAACAATAAAAAAAGACCAGGCTCAGGAGGTTTCTGCTGAGAACAAAGACTGCATTGACAGTTCGAATCCCAACAATGTATGTTATACTTTGACAGAAAGTTTGTCTGCACTTTGCTTATGTCCAGACTTTGCCTGAGACCGAGATTAAGGGTGGCAGACTATTTAATCTTGCAGAAGAAATTTTAAGGCAGTCTAATGTTGAGATGGTGGCATGGCTACCGTTAGAGGCTTTTAGCCAGATTCATGTTGAGAATCAAGAGCAAAGCAGTCAGCAGAATGATTCAAAACATTGAGTTTGACCAGAAAGGAAACTCTAGTAAAGTGGTGGCCTCCAAAGATGGAAGACAGGAGAAATTGTCACTGAAAAGACTAGCAAGAAAAATCCAGGTTTTTCAGAAAAAGACACTAGAAAAGATGGCCTGAGGACATCACAAGATCCAGCAGGACTCCAGCCTTTGCAGCCTCAGAGTTGCAAAGGTAAAAGACCTGCTTGGAGAAGACAGCCCCAGAAAACCGTGTTCCAAAATGGGAGCAGCCTAGAAAATTTGTTCCTCAGAATGGTGTTCATAGTGCTCAGGAATCCAGGCACTTGACCCCTACAGCCAAGAGAGAAGGAATCCTGGCTAATGCTCCAGCTGGCTGCAGACCTTGGCACCATCCATGTGGTCCTGGTTTTAGGTGCATGCAGTATGCAAGAGTTGTGGGGTTAGGGAGGC